AGGTCAGTTCCAGCTTTTAATACCCTGGTCCTTGGTCATGCCGCAAACACATTTGGTCCTGGTTTGAGATCTGAAAATGATGTTCACACATAGTAGGTGCTCAGTAAATGGAGGCATCTTATTCTGTTTTGTACTACTATAACAGAACACCACAGATGGAGTAATTTGTAGAGAACAGAGATTTATTTCTTGTAGTTCTAGAGGCTGGGAAGTCCAAGGTTGAGGGGCCCACATCTGGCGAGGGCTTTTTTGCTGTGTCATCCCTTGGTGGAAGGTGGAAAGGCAATGGGTGCATGAGGGGAGGGGGCCAAACTCATGCTTTCATCAGGAACCCATACCTTCGATAACAGCATTAATCCATTCATGAGGGCAGAGCCCTTTTGACCTAATCACCCTTAGTGGTCCCACCTCTCAACACCATTGCATTGGGGATTAAGTTTCCAACACATGAACTTTAGGGACACATTTACGCCACAGCAAGTGGTTTCTTCTTAGCATTTTCTGATTAACTATAAAGGCCAGCAAGAAGTCAAGCAGATTCACGGCTCTCAGTCTGGGGAGGACAGGAAGGGAAGGACATCTCTCTAGTGAGGAGATACTGGGCCCCTCTTCTTAAAAGGAGCCCATCAGACAGATGGGGAGGCTCAGAGATGTGACAACTGCTGTCCAAAGTTGTGCAGCCTGTCTTGGTGCCTGAACCAAACATCTAGGATCTCAGAGACCCTGTCTGTGGGCAAGGAAGAGTCTTCCTTCCTGAGAGGCAGGGCCATGGTTGCTTATAAGAAGTAGAGCTTTTGTAGGTAGAATTGGCCTCCTGCTGCTGGGAGGATGGGGCTGGGTTTTCCCTGTTCTTACTTTGAGGAAGCGTCTCTATTCAAGCACTTTTCAACAACTTATAGCACACACATACACACACACACACACACACACACACACACGCTTACTTGTTTCAGCTCTCTCTCCCCAGTAAAGGCAGGTTGTTCTGTGAATATTTAGACTTACAATTCTGTCCCAGCACCAAGAGCAGAGGGAGCCTGGCTCTTAGGAATGTCACATCTGATGTTTGTTAAGTGAACAAATGAATGAATCCAGAAGGTCAAGCTCTTATTTCTGTATATGCAAAATCCTCACGCAGACACCTGCATCTATTTCATCTCCCCACCTTGAAGTTTTTCCTTCTTCCTCTTTCTAACCCTGAACATAAATCTTCTCTTGACATGTCAATACCATTGATCAAGTACAGACCCTGTGAGAGTTGGCTCCACCCCAGTGAGAAAAAAGTGTACCCCTTGCCACCCTGGCAGGGTAGTTGTACTGTGTGCACAGGCCTCCTTCCAGATCACCATCCTGATAATGTGTCAAGCCTCTTGCTCCCTACCTGTTTCAACTTTGCAGACCTGGACTCCAGTAGCTTGCATTATCTGTTCCCTCTAAGACAAATTAAGTGATAACCTTGTTTTTAGATGTTGGAATCTAAGTTTTTTTTGATTTCCCAGGAACTTGGGAAACTGTCCTTGACTTCTTACTCTCTTACCTCCCACATCCAATTAATCACAAATTATACTGTCTGAATATTTTTCTAATGACATGCTTCTTTCCCTCCATCACCACTTAGTGGCATCACCTCACATGTCCCCTTGTACCTACCCTCTAATCCTTTTCTATTCTGGCAGCCAGGCAGGTTTTTTAAAAATGTAGTTTGAGCCAAAGCACTTCCTTCTTTAAATCCGCAGCCCTTGCCTTTGATCTCAGGATAAAGTCCAAAGTGTCTCAAGGCTGTCTCTTCCCTCCTCCACCTCCACACCACCGTAGATCTTGCGGCTGGCAACAGTCCACTCCCGCCTCGGGCTTTATAATGCTGTTTTCCACGCTTTCACTTAGGGAACTCTGCTCTCTTTTCAGTACAAATGAAGCTTGATAGTAATAACTATACATTATGCGAGCAATTTATGTGTATTCATATGTACTAGCTTGCGCTCACAATAACCTATTGAATGATTTTTTGTGTTCTTTGTTTTTTTTAAGACAGGGTCTGCTCTGTTGGAGTACAGTGGCGTATCATAGCTCACTGCAACTCAAATCCTGGCTCAAGTGATCTCCTGCTTCAACTTTAGGATACAGCACACACACCATACCAACTAAATTTTGTATGTTTTTAGAGACAGGTCTTGCCCTGTTGCCCAGGCTGTTCTCTAACTTCTGGCTCAAGTGATCCTTCACCTCAGCCTCCAAAGTGCTGGGATTACAAGTGTAAACTTACAGATTAGAAATCTGAGGGTCAGAGATGTGAAACCAACTTGCTCAGGCCATACAGGTGGGTATAGACACCATCAAAGGAAGGCTATGTGGGTTTTGTACCTTGCCTAGTATCATCTGTTTATTACAAATATTTATTTAACATTAGTCCATGCCATTGTAGCACCGTTCTAGTTCCTGTTTCAAAAAGCTTATATACCAGTGGGGGACAAGACGAAAGTAAACAGATGTAGGACAACACAACTTTTTTTTTTTGAGACAGAGTCTTGCTTTGTGCCCAGGCTAGAGTGATGCCGTGGCGTAGCCTAGCTCCAAGCAACCTCAAACTCCTGGGCTCAAGCAATCCTCCTGCCTCAGCCTCCCAAGTAGCTGGACTATAGGCATGCGCCACATGCCTGGCTAATTTTTTTCTATATATACTAGTTGGCCAATTAATTTTTCTTATATATATAGAGATGGTGTCTCTCTCTTGCTCAGGCTGGTTTTGAACTCCTGACCTTGAGCAATCACCCACCTTGGCCTCCCAGAGTGCTAGGATTACAGGCGTTAACCACCGTGCCCGGCCCACAATTTTAATAGTAATAAGAACCTTGAAGACAAAAAGATAGGATGGTGAGATAGTGATTAACAGTGCTGGCAGGCTACTTTAGACCAGTGGGTTGAATCTGTCTTAGAAGAAGTACTCCATAAATGTTTCTTAATTTAATATACTTACTAGAATATAAACTCCATGAGGGAGGGAGGGAGGGAATTCTTGTCTTATTGACCTTGGTACCCCCAGCACCTATATTTGGCATTGGCATGGAATAGGTTCAGATTATCCATTTATTTGAATGAATAAATAAATACATATACTTCTTCATTCATTTACTTAAATCAGTGGTTTTCAAGAACAGTGTCTGTGTGCCTTTTGGTAACTTCTGTTTTTGGTTGTCACAATGAAGGGGAAGGTGGTGCTGGCATTTATGGAGGAAGGGATGCTATACATCTTGCCACACATGGGGACAGTCCCACATAACATAGTCCCATAATGTAAAATGACTTTCAAATGACCTGCCAGACCTTCATGAGATGAAAAATATTTTTATAATTATCCAAATCTAGATACACACTCTAAACATAGAAACAGAAGGGTTTTTTTTGTGTTTTTTTTTTTTGAGACAGAGTCTCGCTTTGTTGCCAGGCTAGAGTGAGTGCCGTGGCGTGCAGCCTAGCTCACAGACTCACAACTCCTGGCTCAAGCAATCCTACTGCCTCAGCCTGCCCGAGTTAGCTGGACTACAGGCATGCACCACATGCCAACTAATTTTTTCTATTATTCAGTTGGCCAATTAATTTCTTATTCTATTTATAATAGAGGACGGGTCTCACTCTTGCTCAGGCTGGTTTCCAACTCTGACTCGACATCGCCCACCTTGGCCTCCCAGAGTGCTAGGATTAGCAGCCACGTGCTCGGCCGAGGATTTTTATGTCCTCGATGCAACTAAATTCCGGACTGCACTAAATGGTAAATAGAGGAAATGATTGTATTTTTTTAATTGAACCTTTACCAAAATGTGTTCATCTTTTCAGAAAAATGATATCACCCATGGATTTTCTTTCTTTCTTTTTTTATTTTTTTTGAGACAGAGTCTCACGTGCTACTGTTCAGGCTAGAGTGAGTGCCCGGTTTCAGCCTATGCTACAGCAACTCAATCCTGCTCAAGCGATCCTCCTGCCTCAGCCCTCCACTAGTAGCTGGACTACAAGGAATGCACCCCCCGGCTAATGTTTTCGGTATATTTGATATTGTTGGCAATGTATTCTTTCCACTTTATAGATAGAGACAGGGTCTCACTCTTGCTCAGGCTGTTCCAAACTCCTGACCTGTAGCAATCCCGACGTTGGCCTCCAGAGTGTATTCAGGCGTGAGCACCACGCCTGGCCTCACCCGATTTTCTATCTATTTCTTTCTATTACTTTTTCTTCGAATACTTTCTACGCTCTACTCACAGTACTCTGAGATTTCAAACCCAGTTTCTCTCATGTATATCTCGCCAAACAATTGCTATTGGAATACTATATTTAATTATTTCTTATATCTTATTTGTAGTTGCCTGTCTTTTTATAATTAGGCATTCATTGATTCTAACTTATGGTTGTGGCGGGTGTAAATTATCTATGGATTCTATTCCCAGACTAGGTTGGGGGGCTCTTATGATCTTTTTGATTAAACTATATATCTCCAATGGGGGCCGTAGTCTCCCGCAGCCCTGACCGCGGGGGCAGCGTCGCTCGCTCGCCAGGGTCGCGTGTGGCGCGCGCGCGCGCGGTCGCTCGTCGCTGCGGCACCCGTCGGCCCCGGGCGATGGCGGGCACGACTGCGCCCAGGTCGCGAGGCGCCCTTCGACCAGCAGCGCCCGGGGCGGGCGGGTATAAATGGAGCGGTGGCTCCCCCAGCCGCCTCTCTCCGCCCCGTCGCTGCTCCCTCCTCCGCTTTCGGGCTTAGCAGCCTGAAGAAAAAGAGAAAAAGATTTTAAAAAAAAACCCGCAAACGCTTCAAAATCTAAAAAAAAAAGAAAAGAAAAGAAAGGAAAAGAAAAAGCGAATCCTCCTCGGAGAACCCGCGGGGAAGTCACTTTTGCGCGCTTCCGGCCTGCCCTGCGCCCGCCGCCGCCGCACTTGGCGTCCGCCGGTCTCCGTCCGTCGGTCCAGGGGTGAGCCGCCCGCCCGCCCGGCCAGCCCGGCCCGCCGTCCGCGTCCGCGCCGCGTGGCAACCCCGGCCCCGCGGCCCGTCGGCGCCCTCGCCCCCCGCGCCCGGCGCACCACGTGTCCGCACTGCCCTTCGACCGCCCGCCCGGGGCTTGCCGAGTCGCACCCACGAGATTTGGTTTCCCTCTTCCCTGGCTGTTGTAATCTTAAACCGCCGGGAGCCCAAGGCCTATATTTATAGAGAAACGCGTGTCCCGAAGGCCGCCGTGGGCAGCATCTGTTTGCCTCCTAAAGGATTTTTAATCCTTCGGAAGGGGATTCCCATTTTAATTTTTTTTTTTCTTTTGGGAATTTGGAGCTTCAAACCAGGACAGCTGAAAATCACAAACTCCCAGGGAGGGCCATATTGTTTTTGAGAGCCTTTTGTCTGAGGTGTTGCAGCCCCGTGCGAGCTGCCCTGAACTCCTGTTTCCCGTCCGGTCTCTGAGCCTACCTACTCCAGCTCGTCGTAGCCTCGCTCTGTGCCACCTGTGAGCCGCGGTGCGGGCCACGGCTCTGAGAGGGGCCCCTTTTGTCCTTTGGTGGGCCCTCTAAGAAGTCCTCCTGGCGGGGCTCGGGGTGGTGGGGGCTGGGGAGATGAACGCTGCGGCCAGCAGCTACCCCATGGCCTCCCTGTACGTGGGTGACCTGCACTCGGACGTCACCGAGGCCATGCTGTATGAAAAGTTCAGCCCTGCGGGGCCTGTGCTGTCCATCCGGGTCTGTCGAGATATGATCACTCGCCGCTCCCTGGGTTATGCCTACGTCAACTTCCAGCAGCCAGCTGACGGTGAGTAGAAGCTGTGCCCACACATGCATGGGATCCCAGGGGACCCCAGGAGTCATCTAGACAGGGCCCTACTGCCAAGGAGGGGGACAACACCACAGCATGCTGCCACAGAAGCCAATAGTGGGGTGCAGGGGTTGAGAAACAGCTGGCATGAGATGACCTGGGTTTCAATTCTGCTTCTATCACTTGCTAACTGGGTGACCTTGGGCTACTCAATAATGGTGGAGTTGGAAGCTAAGGAGACTGTACACAGAGTCAGAGTGAAGTCACTGTCATTCCATTTTGTGTGGTCCTGCTCTAGTGGGGCTGGGCTGTTAGAGACCCTTGCCTGGTCTGGTCAGTGGGCATAGGCTTGTGCCCCTCACAGGCCTACCAAAAACACAGGATGGTTGAAACACAGTTCCCTGCAAAAGTTTTGGATTGCAAAACTGCTACCCCCTTCCCCACCTTTACCCTAGACTAAGTTTGATTTTGTGCCAATAAGAGACCCTTTACGGCAGGTAGGAAGCAGGAGGAATGAAACTCTAGCAGAGACTTGTGTTGGTGCCACCAGAGCTACATGGGCCAGGCCAACTCCTTGGTCTGTTTGCCACTGAAGTGGAGAAGTGCTTTGTTCTGGGGAAGTGCCACTTGAAAATCCACTGGTCTGGTGGCATTTATCACTTCACCTGTGAACAGTGCTTTACACTTGTCAAAGCCATTTTTCTTCATCCAGTCTGAAGAAAATGAGACTTCCAAAAAGGAAAAGGAACTGCAAAATGTTGGAGCCCAAGTTGAGACTCCCAGTGCTCCGATACCCCAGATTATGGCCTTAGCATAGAGTGGTAGAGAGGTATGCTGCAGGCATGGCAGGAGTGAGGCCAGTGGAAACCTAATCGGGCTGCATGTGACTCCAGATTAAATGGGAACAACTGCAGAGACCATTACTGGGAGAAACAAGCCATTCTGTGGCGAGGGACCTCCAGGTCTCTCATTTTGTCCCTACTTTGTTCACTGTGTGAGGCACTGAAAATGTTACTTGTCCAGGTTGCACCTGAGACCAGAGACTTAGACAAGTTGAGAAACTAGGTATTGCCACCATCAATCCAGCATGCTCCGAGCTGAGTTCTGTCTCTAGCCCCAGGAGCACAAAAAGAGCTGAGTGTGGTCTTTAGGGGAGAAGTGGGTACCTTAGTTGTTGTCTGCTTTCTTGACCTCTGAACAAAAGTCGTGTCACTTGGAGATAGCAAAAGCCATTGGTCAGTGTGTCTGCCAACACATACTTATTCGAGACCTCTCCCTGCTATAAATAAGTGCAGCCGGATTTGTCAGACTAAGCCTACTTGCCTTGCCTTGTTCAGTGCTGTCTGGAAATAGACAAAGAGCTGCGTTGAAGTGGGCTTCTTTACTACTAATTAATGAAGTAGGTTGGGGTACTAGACTGTTTATCTTTGATAGCCATCACAAGTGAACTCTTGAACCTGGACTTTTCTTGACTTGGATCTGTCATCTCCCTTTTCCCCAACTACACATGCAGCTCTGGTGGCACCAACACACATCTCTGCTAGAGATAATACAAATGAGCTCCCCTTCTGAGGAAGATGGGAGAGGTTGTTGGAAATAATGAGTAAAAAGAAATTCCCCAACTGATTGGACAGTAGAACTTGTAGAGGGACAGAGAATTTTGTCCCTCTTTTAAGTGTGATGTTGCCTTGAAGGCAAGGAACAGGCTCCCTTGCTCTGACGCTGTCTGAATGCCCGCATGGAGGAGGTTCTGGGTGATTCACTTCTATGAGATGTGTAATAGTCTTAAGGAAAAGTGGCCACCAGATCTGAGCGTCCTTGTTGCCCCTGGTGAAAAGAAGTGTTCCTGGCTTGCAGGAGATGATATGTTTTAGCTTCCAGTTCTTCAGATGGTCTCTGTGACACACTGGTGGACTTGATTGGGAATCTAAAGAAGCATCCCAAGATACTGGGTGGAGAACTTGGTTGGGCACCAGGGTAAAATCCTAGAATGCTACAGAACTCAGATTAAGGCTTCAGAGGGTCTGGAAAGCACTAGGTGCAGGGCCTACCACCTGCACTGTCTGCTTAAGCAAGAAGGTGTGGTGGTTTAATCCTACTTGGGCTCATAAGGCAGAGAACATCTCCATGTGTGACCAGTTCTATCAATTTGATGATTGAGGCTTTTGGTCCAAATCAATTTCTGTTCTCAGAAATTGAATATAAGAAACTGGGCTGAATTCAGTGATAGCACATTTTTCCAAATCATTTGCTCATAGGTTTTGTCATTTGTCTCTTTATAGATGGGTTGCAGACTAAATGACAGCTATTTGATAACTGTGAAGCAATACTCCTCTGAAAAATAAATCAGAATTGGGTGTTTATTTCCTGATCACTAGCTAGCTGTGTTAGCCACCTGAACACAAGTTTTTACACTTTATAAATTGCATAATTTCAGCTATCCCATTTGAGTCATGGTGATTAGGCTGCAAAGTCTTTTATAAATGGTAAAGCTTAGTCAAATGGGAGGTGTTACTGTTGGATCTTGGTGCCATTTAGATTATCCTTACCCTAACAAGGACACAGATGCAGAGGGGTTCAGACTTCTGTCATGAAGTAGAGTGATTAATTAGAACTTAATCTACCTTCAGTAACATTGCAGGCTAGAGGAACCTGATGCCCTTTGATTTTAATAGAGTTGCCTTTTATCAGAGTGATTACCTTGAAAAGTCCTGGAGTAATCTGTTCTTGAGATGGTGGCCTACGTGAGTTGACGTTTTATATCCTTGATTGAAATTTGTTTCTCTCTCACAGCTGAGCGGGCCTTGGACACCATGAACTTTGATGTGATTAAAGGAAAGCCAATCCGTATCATGTGGTCTCAGAGGGATCCCTCTTTGAGAAAGTCTGGTGTGGGAAACGTCTTCATCAAGAACCTGGACAAATCTATAGATAACAAGGCACTTTATGATACTTTTTCTGCTTTTGGAAACATTCTGTCCTGTAAGGTAAACATTGAATGATTTCAGCAGAGTAATTATTGAATCTTGAAAACAAGATAAATACTAATGGGAAACTGCCTTGGAATTGGGCAACAGGGTATGCTAATTTTCAAAATGCTGGAAGTAGAATCCTGGAAGTTCCCATAGGTAATAATTGGGACCCCAACCCAGCATGACCAATAAGTACTTTCATGTCTTTGTTTATTCCTCCCTCAGCTTGAAATATCTTTCTGTTTTCTGGCTTTGGATGGCCTTGAAAGTTTTTCTTTTGGGTGGGGGAGAGGAGAGGCCCAAAGAAGTGTCTCCAGTCTTGAGGAAACCTGTCACTTTAGAAGCATAAATTCACCCTCTTTCTCTGCATCTGTTTATGTGGAGCACTTTGTAAAACTTACACAGTGGTGGTTTACATGTCTTACACACTAGACTTTTATGGGCTTGGAAAATGATCTGTCTTTCTGCAGCACCGGTTTGTACCCAGATCTCTTAAAGGTTTTTTAATACAAATAAATAAGAAAACATTTGGAATAGGACAAACTTAATAGTGGCTATTATTTGTGAATGGAGCATGTACCAGGTGCCTGGTGCTGTGCCAAGTGTAAGAAAAGCCATACCTGGAACAGTTGGTTGCCTTTGGCAATGGATGGGTTGGAGGCTTCTTAGACAGGGGAGACCCTGAGGTTCTCAACATCTCTGGAGTTGACCAGTGGTGCTAAAGTGGTCTGCTTTGTCTTTGACAGGTGGTGTGTGATGAGAACGGCTCTAAGGGTTATGCTTTTGTCCACTTCGAAACCCAAGAGGCTGCCGACAAGGCCATCGAGAAGATGAATGGCATGCTCCTCAATGACCGCAAAGTGTGAGTGTCCCAGTCCGGAGCAACAACCATCGCATGAGCCAGCTGTGGCCCCACCTGGTATTAAACTGGCACACACAAGGCGGCTACTGGTTCTCTCGGCCCAAGTGTGGCCTGCTCCTACCTCTCCACTCCAGGGCTGGTGAGTCTCCCTGCCCGAGCTGTGGCAGCCCTTTTGACTCGCCAAGGTGGGCTTCCTGCCCAAGCCATGGCTGCTGCCGCCTCTCCTCAAAGGCATTCGTCAATGGTTTTGTGAACATCGGCAACTAGGGCTGGCTGGAAGGCAGCTCTAAGCCCACTCTGAGCGGGGTCTTGGCCAGTGGCAGAGTGGAGAGGGCCCTGGACTGACCAGGAGCTGCATACTAGCTATGCAACCTTGGCCTTCCTGTGACTCGGGTCTGTCCATGGGTCTTGCTAGTTAATGCCAAATTGTCCCTCTAGTTCTCCATTATGACTCAGTGATCTAATACAAGGCTGGCTCCACAGTAATACTTAATTTGGTTACAATGAAAAATCTCATCCTTTGCAGAGACATTTCATAACAGACTTTTGTTTTGTTTTAGTTGTTACTGTAGAATGGAGAAGAGGGTAACTTAGCAAAGCCATATGGGAAGGAAAAGGACAATAAGTCTTGGCTATTACAAACAAAAATAATTTTTGTCCTTTGTGTGTGTGTGTTTTTTTGTTTGTTTTTGAGACAAGAGTCTCACTCTGTTGCTCGGGCTAGAGTGCCGTGGCATCAGCCTAGCTCACAGCAACCTCAATCTCCTGGGCTCAAGCAATCTTCTGCCTCAGCCTCCCGAGCAGCTGGACTACAGGCATGCGCCACCATGCCTGGCTAATTTTTTTCTATATATTTTAGGTGGCCAATTAATTTCTTTGTATTTTTAGTAGAGACAGGGTCTCATCCTTGCTCAGACCGTTTTTGAACTCTAGACCTTGACTGACCTCCCACCTCGGCCTCCCAGAGTGCTAGGATTACAGGCGTGAGCCACTGCGGCAGGCCTGTCCTTTGTGTTGTTGAACAGACCAGAGGATAGGTTGTGTTTATAATGTCCATGTGGCCAGTGATTGATCTATAGGTATCACTGGAAAGAAATATGAAAATTTTCAGTGTGTGGATACATTTTCCTATTAAGTATAACAGTACAAAGTGAATAAATAAAAAATAAAAACAAAGGTTGCTCTCCAATGATCTCACTCCTCGTAGGATTAACCACTGTTAACAGTTTGATTTGTATTCTTCCAGACCTTTTCTGTGCATTTACATAGTTGCACAGAAATGAATGTTTTAAAAACATGGTCATCAGGTTTCTTCATGAAGGCAATGTGGTGTGGTAGGAGTAGCCCTGGTCTGAGCCAGGAGTCCTGGGCTTGCTTCTTACAGGATAGTCTGCTCCTTTTCTGCTGGCGATTTGGGGCATTTCTGAGCTTACTCTTTCAGTGGTGGATGGGGACCTCATGTGTTTTAACTTCTCCTGTCAGCCTTTAACCTGTATTCCTTTGGGCCCCAGGAAATCAGGTTTTATTTCTCTAGTGATCATTGTTATTTGTGGTTTCTTTTAGGTTTGTGGGCAGATTCAAGTCTCGCAAAGAGCGGGAAGCTGAGCTTGGAGCCAAAGCCAAGGAATTTACCATGTGTATATCAAGAACTTTGGGAAGAGGTGGATGATGAGAGTCTGAAAGAGCTATTCAGCCAGTTTGGTAAGTAGAGGGTCCTTTGCCCCACATGCCCCTAGGATCCATCTGGTTCAGCCAGAGATTTGCTTCAAGTGGGTTCCTAGAGAGAAAGAAGCCTTTTCTCCTTGAGCTGTGTTAGAATGATGTTATTAATTGTTCTGTCCTTTGGTAATAGGTAAGACACTAAGTGTCAGGTGATGAGAGATCCCAGTGGGAAATCCAAAGGCTTTGGCTTTGTCAGTTACAAAAACACGAGGATGCAATAAGGTGAGAGTACCACAAGGGTCAGGAAAACCTTTGTAGGAGGTGGCCCCAGAGTATGGGCAGGGCCTTGCTAGAACACCGTAGAGCAGAGCTGGAAGGACCTGAGTATCTAGTAGTGGATGTACAGTTACTGTACTCTGGAATCCTCTTCCTGAGGAGCTTGCACATGTTAATATATCGTTTAATTGTTTACAAAGCACTTGGCACATAGCTGTTACCTCAGCTGCCAGCTTTTGAAAGAATAGGACATGAATAAGATGTTTTTTTCCCTTCAAAGGTGAGGAGGGGGGACTAAAGCCCTGAGAGTTGCTGATTGGTTAACATCATAGCAGCTATTTATGGGCAAAGGATTGTGCTGGGCCTTCAGCATTTGTAAATACCTACAAAGAACCTGTGAAATTAATTGACAGTCAGATTACAACCTAGGCTCAACGTCACCATGCTTGTCTTTATGCCAACTGTACTGTTTTCCTATATTATCTGGACTAATAACCTATTTAAATATTAACCACACTTTACAGGTAAGGAAGGTTGGATTTGTTTAGCAGGCTTCAGAAGTGAATGAAGTTAGTTTTTAGCCCTATAGGAAAGATTTCTTTCTCAGTATTTGGTGGGACTTATCTCCTAAAAAGACCCCTGTCTCTGCAACTTGATTTTAAAGACATATATTTCCTCTCTAGGCTGTGGAAGAGATGAATGAAAAGAAATCAGTGGTAAAGTCATATTTGTAGGCCGTGCTCAGAAGAAGTGGAACGGCAGGCAGAGTTAAAACGGAAATTTGAGCAGCTGAAACAGGAGGAATTAGTCGATATCAGGTAAGATGGTCTTGGCCCAGCCTCCCAACGGGATTTGCTATGAAATATTTGCAAAGCACCCTTACGTTTAGCAGGCTTTCTCTTCAGTGACTTGGAGTCTGCTCTTCCCTCTCATTTTCCCCAAGATCAGGTTTAAAAAAGATATACACCTACCAGATATGGCAGCAATTATAGAACCAGGGGCAAAAGAGATGAATTTTTTCATTGAGGGGCTTGCTGTTCTGGAAGCTTCAGCCTGTTGCTCCTTAGCCATGTAGGTTCTTTTTTAACTTACATGATGTCCTTTGTTTGGCATGATGGCAAGAAGAACCCTGCTGGAGTGAATGGTGGGCACAGAGCAGCTGTGGGAGGTGGGAGATAACATGGGACTGCACTGATGGTCCCTCAGTTTCAGGGCAGTGGTTTCTCACCCTTGGGCTTGCATCAGAATCATCAGCAGAGCTTGTTAAAAATATGGCTGGACTGCAGCCCACAGTTTCTGATTCATTAGGTTTGGAGTCCGGCCTGAAAATTCATTTCTAACAATTCCCAAAGATGCTAGCACTCCTGGTCTGGAGACCACACTTTGGGAACCATTGTCTTTAGGGAACATGTGTGGTATAGAAGTACAATTAACAGTGATCCTTCTCCTTCAGGGGGTGAATCTCTACATTAAGAACTTGGATGACACTATTGATGATGAGAAATTAAGGAAAGAGTTTTTCTCCTTTTGGATCAATCACCAGTGCTAAGGTATTTTAACACTCAGATTTTGAGATTGAAAACAGTAGTATTATAGGTTTATTGCATTGTTTAATGAAGGGATAGGATCTAAATTGTGTTCATTGTGAGAGGTAGCTACTACATTATTCCTTACACATCTGAAGATATGCCCCTGAGTTTCATTAGGTTACAGTGTCTGTCTCAGATATGGGTATGGAAGAGGAATCTGGCCTGGCTGCTCCCTGCCAGCCCTCCCAGAGCACCTAAATCTTTCCCATTCCTTGCTGCTTCGTGCTGGTGTGGGGACAGACGGTGCTACAGCATGAGCAGAGGAAATCCAATCACAGGTTTTCCATTTGTCTTGGGACTTGTCTCTACATCTTGCCACATTTCCCCTCCCTTGAATGAGGGGATTTTTAAAGATTATGGAGCGCAGGGGTTGGGAATTCTACCCCACGTTTTATAAAGAGGGAAATGGAATGGAAAGTTTCTTCATGTTTTGCAATGTGCATGATTTGTTTGGTTTCTTTGATATCATATCAACTGAGTTAACAGGGTGAGTAGGAACCCTCATTTAAAGATAAGGAATTTGAGTCCTTGAGCAAAGAGAATGCTGGCTACCGTGGGGATGGGTGTACTGTGGCATGTCCTTGGCATTTTGGGAGTGTGACAGAGACTGATGGCATATGAAAGTTCGGGTTCATGGCCTAAAGCAGGTCTTGTTCACCAGAGGTATAGCAGATACCACAGAGTCCTTTAGGTGATGAGAAGGAGCCCATGTGGGCTGGTAAGGCTTGGTGGCCCTTGCCCTGGCCCTTAGCACAGGTGCTCTCACCTGGGAATACTGTGCAAAGAAATGTTTATCAGTTGTAGTAGGAGTTGACAGAGGCCAACTCTGTAGGTTTGCCCAGTTCCTTACCCACCCCCTTGCTATCACCCCTTGACTGGCCCCTATCAGTGGCAAGGGGTGAATTAGTCTCTCCTCACTTATCTGCACAGTAGTCAAGTTGAAATTTGCAAGAGAGCAAAGGACTGTATCTTAAAGCTTCATAGATACCTTCTCCAAGATTCATGGTAAGGCTTTTTAATCCCCCACATGTTATCAGCTCACCTCCTCCGTAAA